AAGCGTCCTCTTCCAGCCCCAGGGAGCTAACATTACATCTGGGATAGTGGAGCTGGAAGCCCTTTGTCATTTGGGGACTGTGATTATCTGGAAGAAGCCTTCATTTACATTCCTCATTGGCTCTTTGGCCATTCTTCAAGAATGGTGAAGACTCTCTTCATCTTGAAGCATGTGGTGCTTTCAGGGTTTATGTAGCTTATTCCATTTACTCTCACAGGTTGTTCCATGTGGAAGGAGGAGCACCACAGATTTAGCCGCCCACAGCTCTGAGGACACTCTCAGGTGTTACCATGCCAGGTCCTTGGAGGGTTGGGGCCAAGCTCTCCTGACACTCTCTGATGTCCCATTTTTTCACTGGCTGTGCAAATAGAGCCAGCTGTCATTTTTCCTGTACATATGAAATGGGTCACTGAGAATCCATGTAAAACAGCAGATAGTTATAAGATAGCTTATATTTAGCTTTAGACTACATTATAGGTTTGGTCTTTCTCGGTAGAATTACTGCCCTAATTTTGTTCCACTGATACTAGACAAGGCATGATGTTAGAGCTGCAAGGGATCTCTAGTATGATGTAGTCTGATTCTCTAATTTTCCACATGAGAAAACGAAGGTCCAGAGGAAGCAGCAGACCTACTCACAAATCAGACAAGCGGTTCATGCAGAACTGAGGCCATAGTGAGGGTTTTCTGCTTTCTAGACCACCATACCACCCTGGCAGTCCACACAAGAGGGCATACACTGAGGATGAAAGAAGATGGCATCAGAACTGCTGGGTGAAATGGTGACTTAAGTGGACTTTGACAGCTGCCTTTTGAAAACTCAGTAACTAAACACACTGCATGTAATCAAAAGATGCTTATACTAATAATATCCCTGTGCTGTTCCCACTCCATTGCTCTGTTTTGGAGAAGACATACAGAAGTTGCAACATAACCTGGAGTGGAATTGGAGAGTCCCATTTTTGTTTCAGCAGCCGGCTGGGCAGGAGAGAGCCAGCTGTGCAAATAGAGCCGGATTCCCAGAAGGCAGAAGCGTTCCTGTGCTGTGCCCCAGTGGCATCTCTGCAGTGGTCAGAGTGACCTGGTATAAGAGAGAGTGCGTCACCTTGCCCTCTGTGCTGACCCCTGCCTTCCCCCTACAGGAGAGTCCATCCCGATCCGGCTCTTCCTGGCAGGGTACGAGCTCACACCCACCATGCGGGACATCAACAAGAAGTTCTCTGTGCGCTATTACCTCAACCTGGTGCTGATAGACGAGGAGGAGCGGCGCTACTTCAAGCAGCAGGTGAGGGCCCTGATGCCCTTGGGACAGAACAGGAGGCTTTGTTTCCTATGGAAGGTCAGGCTCCGTTTTTGCCAAGAGGTGGGAACATCAGGTCGCCCACAGTTGCACAGCAAGAACAAGGATTCCACCTGGCATTAGAGTCTGCTTCCTCGGGCCTGCTCCTGCAACCACCTGCCCTTTTGGCCCACACCAGGGACAGGGAGGTGCTGGCAGCTGCTGCCTTTGGTGAGAGATAAGCAGAGGAAGTCCTGCCCAAGACTCCCAGACAAAGTTGGGAGCCTCTGGGAAACCTGTCCCCACGCCTCCCTCTAAGGTGTCACATTGCCCCCTCTCCATTCTGCAGGAAGTGGTGTTGTGGCGGAAGGGTGACATCGTACGGAAGAGCATGTCCCACCAGGCGGCCATCGCCTCACAGCGCTTCGAGGGCACCACCTCCCTGGGTGAGGTGCGGACCCCCAGCCAGCTATCTGACAACAACTGCAGGCAGTAGGCCCCCCAAGGCCAAGAAGCTGCTGGGCGTCCACCCAGCACCCCCATCTACCAACACCAGCGGCTGGGGGTGGGGGCGGACCTTGTGAGGCTCAGTTGACCTGTTACTTGCAACCTGAAAACAAATCATGTTTTTGACTTAAATTATTTTCTCTGGAGAACCCAAGGGACTTGGGGTGGGAAGCAGTCTCTCCTTGGGATTCTACGGCCAGTGTGGGATAGGAGAGGTAGCATCCTGGAAGCCAGCCTGTCTGGGGAACATGAGCCTTCTGTCGAGGCCTTCCTCATGGGGCTGCCTTGTGTCTTACAGGAGGGGGAGTAGAGAGCACGCATCCTTGGCTCCTGGCTCTCCAAGCTTCCTGATACAGGATCTGAGCATGTCCCTAGGATTCTGAGCTGCCAACAGGGCCCTGGGTGGTCACGTCTTGTACTCCCCTCCACTGTCCCTGAGGTAGTGGCAGGAGTGGGGCCAGCCCCCACTAAACGGCAGGGGGAAGACTCATGATTGGGAAGCTACCTCTTTGGGAATCTTGGATGTGGTGATCTCAAGTTCCCACAGGCCACCTCCTTCTGGCCCCCGACTGCTGGGACCCAAGCACCTCCCTTCTCCATCCTCTCTGGATTGTTAGAAACGTCCTGAAACAGAAGCCTGTGGAATGGCCTTGGGCACAGAGAAGCCCAGGGGTCAGTGTCATGCGTGGATGGTGGCAGTGTTGAACCCAGGAAGCTGAGCCCAGTCCACCAAGGAAGATCAGAGCATGGCAACTGCCTGCCTTCACATGGCTCCACTTGGTAACCCCAAGATCTGGGCTGTTCTAGGTATTGTTCCATGTGCCCCAACAAGCCCTTAGCAAGAGGGCCTATTTCCCTTAAGAAGCAATCCCAGGAAGGGGCCTTGATCCCTCCACCTCCCTGAGAGTGGACCCTCATCTCTCCTCACCCTCCATTTCATTTCTGGGAATTGGGGCTTAGTTTTGAACCCTTAGCAAGGCTGTTCTTACTAATGCCCAAGCCCCTTTACCCCTTCCTACCTCTTCCTCCAGGTCACGCAGGGGAGACTGGGGCCTCTGCAGTAGGCTGCTGCCTCACTTCTGAATCATTCTGCTTGCCAAATAATGCCATCTTCACCAGTTGATTGACCCAAGTTTAGGACCATTGGTATTGTGTGTTTAAAAAAACACATAGACAAAAATTCTTGTGAATATTCTTGTTATGCTAGAGAGGAGGCACTTCTCCCTCTATGGCTGTGCGCTGAGGCCTAAGTTGTTTACTGTCCTTTTTCTGACTCCCCTGGAAGTGACAGGCATTACTCTCCTATTGGCTTCCCTTCCCTTTATAGAAAGACCAAGCAGGCCTCACTGGCCAACAGGTACAGTATTTGGCGGTCTGAATTCCCAGTAATTTAAGTGGTTGGTTCCCGTGTCACCTTTCAGTTAGTGTAGGAAAGACAGACTCCCGTTTCCCTGAGATGAGTGCAGTCTCAGGCCTTTGGCAGGGCTCACGGATCAGAGCTGAGACTGGAGGGAGAGGCATTTGGGGTGGCCTGGGCGACTAGGGGCAGCAAAACCAAGGAAGCCAAGGTTGTTTCCTCCATGCAGGGTCCTGTGTTCAGGTGTGACACACAATCCTCATGGGAACAGGATCACCCATGCACTGCCCTTGATCAAGGTTGGGGCTGAAGTGGATGAGGGAGGCAGGTTCTGGGTTCCTTGCCTTTTCAGAGCATGAGGTCAAGCTCTGTATGCCTCCTTTTCCTAGTTGGTATTCTAACTAGAAGCATTTGTCAATTCCTTTGCCTCCCAACTGACAACATATGTTCATTTTCCATCCTTCCTAACATCTTAAACCTTTCTTCTGGGAGAACTAGAAGATAGATTTTGCTTTGATTCTCTCAGGCGCTGTGCACAAGCCAGGTCTTCTGTTTTCTCTTACTCTACCCACATTCTTGCCTTCTCTATCCAACTGTGAAAGTGAGGGGAGGCTCCTGTCCCCCTCTCTTAAGGTCCCCAAACCTGGGAGTGCATAGGTACTAAATCAAGCAGTGCAACTTGTAATTAAGCAGCTGCAGTGTTTACATGTTTCTTAATGTGTCGTCTTTTCAATGGCTGTATTTTAAAAGAACATTTGTTTTAATGGTCTCTCTGATTAAAGGAAGCCCCCGTGGCTTTGGAGGCATTGTGCCCACGGTCCACCAAGTTCTGTGATCTCTTCTGTCTTACACAGTCCCATTTCTGACACTCAGGGAAAGACAGATACCTACCCTGATTTCCCAACATAGTGCCTGTGCTCTCACTGTATAGCCCCTGGTAAAAAATGATGAATATTTATTTAAGACAGAGTCTCGCTCTGTCTCCCAGGCTAGAGTGCAATGGCACAATCTCGGCTCACTGAAACCTCCTTTTCCTAGGTTCAAGCGATTCTCCTGCTTCAGCCTTGCGAGTAGCTGGGATTACAGGTCCTTGCCACCGCGCCCGGCTAATTTTTGTATTTTTTAGTAGAGACAGGGTTTCTCCATGTTGGCCAGGCTGGTCTCGAACTTCTGACCTCAGGTGATCTGCCTGTCTCAGCCTCCCAAAGTGCTGGGATTACAGGAGTGAGCCACCACGCTCAGCCTGATGAATACTTTATTTACCACCTGTTTGAGACAAAGCACATGGCTGAGAAATGAATTCAGTTCTTACCCGTATCTGGCAGTTTGTCCAGAACTGCTCATGGGATGGTTTAATCCTCTATGGGACCCAGATGATGTTAAGGGGCAGGTGAGCAAGGCTGGTGTAGAAAGACAAAAGTCCATTCCAGTGGGAGTTACCAGACTGCGGGGGGGGGGGGGGGGGGGGGGGAGGTCTCAGCTGTATATCCTGCTATTTGCTACAGAACTACTAGTGATGGTATAGAAAGACGGCAGAGGCAGCCCTGCATCTTGGAGCAGCCAAAGGAACCCGCTTGGAGGTAAGAGGTATGCAGTGGGGAGAATTCCACTGTACTGAGTGCAGTTTTAGCAGAAAACTTTATCAACTTTGATATTATTTTATTGAAAAAAGTACACAAAAACCACTAGGTACACAAGCCCAGGTGAGCATAACAAGCAAGCCCTCTCACACCTTCTTTTCTCTGAAAAATGCTTGACTTCCTTGGAGTTATCATGCCCATTCCAACAGTAGTATCTCACTTAACTTGGTTCCTTTTTTTCCAGGCTCAAAATAAAATCAAACTCTTCTACAAAAAGCAAGGGAAAAGGGGAAGAATTGGGTCTTTATGTCTCTTCCTGAACAGGGAAGTTATGCCAGGCACTTTTACATGGTACTAAGGCGAGCAGTCATTCAAAACTATTTACCAGGTGCAAAGCCCTGTGACTCAGGTCACATTCCCTCCCTCATGGATGCTGCAGGTGAGGATGCTGACTGAGAAAGGTGAAATGCCATGCCCAAGTTTAATCAGCTAGTAAATGGGAATTCAGGAGGTCATCCTGGTATATGGATAATAAAGGAGAGGGCCCACTCTTACCTTGAGTCAGGGGCTGAATTGATAATCTCTGGCGAGTGAAGAGAACCATATTTTTTAAGGGGCCACCAGAAGCTTTGTGAGCTTGATGATAGGATTTGAGCTCAGCCAGGGGAATGAAACGCTTCATCATCCGAACAAACTGCACATCCACCTATGTGACAAGAGTGTACATGACAGAAAGATATGTCTAGTGAGACTCTGCCTGCCGTGTTTTTAACTGCCTGCAGGAAGTTCCTAACTCCAACGTCAGCATCACCTCATCTGAGTAAGTGCTGGGCTGTGTACCTTGACCTACAGTCACCCCAACCATCTTCCTCCCCTTGTTCATCCTTCCTCTGTCATGAACAGGAAGCACAGTCTTTACCATGGACCACTTAGGATTGTCCTCTTTGCTGGATGGGTCATAATGGGGATCGTTTTTTTCAAACTGTGTGTGGTCTGGGTAAGCCTCTTTCACAATCTGAAACCAAAACAAAAGTTTCTTATCATTTGCCTGCAGTCAGCTCCACAGCCAATCTTTAATCCATATACAACTTTCATTTCTGACCCTTCACATTCTTACCCCATCTGCCTTGCTATAGGGCCAATGGAGGCTCAGATATCTGGAAATAATATATAGCCTAATACATAGTCTAGGAAATCAACTCTGTTTTTACAAAAGTCTTTTAGAAACAAGCTCTAAAAACAAATGGCAAAGGTTATTACTGGTACCACTGTGTTTTTCCCACCTGCACAGTTAATAATTTTATCCTGTTAAGCTTGGAGGAGCTACTATCAGGCCTGTTTTCGAGTGAGATCAAGACAAGACGTGGAGTGAAGTCTGTGCTAGTGGGACCTGAAACGAAGGCCTACTTTGTTTGAGTTGTTGTCATATAGGAATGGGCCAGGGCAGTTTTTCCCTATTCTGTGGCAAGGAGGGTGGGCTAGGGGGAGTGTACTTTTTTGTTACCTATTTAACATGTATCCCTTTATATTGACTTAAGTCAGTCTCCTTGGAGGGAAAAGGATTCAGACCAAAACCTGTCCAACTAACCTTCATAAGTCCTGCAATGCCTGGCTCTTTGCAGTTGCTATGGTAGAAGAAGGCTTCTTCTCCCAGCTTCATGGCTCTAAGGAAGTTTCGAGCCTGTCTCAGGGGAGAAGAAACAAGAATGATCCTCCCCACGAGCTGGAAAGTACTAGCTTTTAGCAGAAATGACGTCTGCTTTTATTAGATGGGTTTTTCTTGTTCGCAACTTCTCCCCAGTTCATTAGAAAGTCCTTCCCCTTTGCCAGGACACCCATACTTTTACCATTACACTGGCCAGAACGCAGGCCAATTGCAAATTTCATGCAGAGTACTTAAGGCATTTTTAATACATTATCAGGTTTGGTTCTGAAAAAAAAAAAAACGTAGGCCAAGAGGTTCTGCTACTAGAGGCAGGCATTCATCCCACCTGGGTCTTAGTGAGCCTGCTCCTTACCCTCTTACCTGGTAGTTACGAACACCATCCCAGCATGTTGTCTGCTTGGGCTGGGCTTTGAGATCCTCAATGCTGAACTAGGCAAGAGGAAATAAAGTCAATCATTAATCCGTGGCCAGCTGGTAAGCATATATTGAAGCAGACAGTTCCTCCCCCTACAGTGAGAGGGGCCACTGGCTGTAGAGGAAGTGAGTCTTTACTGGGAAGTGGCTGCACAGAGACACTTGTTGAGTAAATATAAATAAGCCTTGTGTTACCTTGTTATCCTTGCTAATTATCCTCCTAATTAGTTGAATGGATATCCATTAGTTGAATAGATAAATCTAGACAAAGTCATCTGCTGGTTACTTGCATTGCACTTTATTATACATTTCTTCTATAATATTTCTGCTTATATTTTTCCCAGGCTGTATTAAATTCCCTGAAATACACACCAGCTGTTGACAGGGAGACACCTAGGAGCATGGCAGATGGGCAGAGAAAGGTAAACTAGGATTGAGGTGGCAAACTATAGCCTTCAGGGCAAATCTAACCCCATGCTGGATTTTGTGAATAAATTGTACTTGAAAACAACCACAGCTGTTTATGTATTATCTCTGGCCACTCTCTTGCTACAAGGGCAGGGTTGCAACAGAGACTAACACCCACAAGCCTACAAAATTTACTATCTGGCGTTTGTAGCAAAGGTTGGCCAACCTTTGGCCTAGATAGATAGGATTCACAAAACAGTTGATGATGATAAACTCTGCTGACTTTATTTATTTATTTACTTAGTTACTGACTTTGAGACGACGGAGTCTTGCTCTGTTACCAGGCTGGAGTGCAGTGGCACAGTCTCGGCTCACTGCCACCTCCGCCTCCCGAGTTCAAGCAATTCCCCTGCCTTAGCCTCCCGAGTAGCTGGGACTACAGGTGCACACCAACATTCTCGGCTAGGTTTTTGTATTTTAGCAGAGACAGGCTTTCACCGTGTTGGCTAGGATGGTCTCTATCTCCTGACCTCGTGATCGACCCGCCTCAACCTCCCAGCCTCCCAAAGGGCTGGGATTACATGCGTGAGCCACCATGCCCAGCCAATTTTATTCATTTTTACCTTTTCCCACCCTTCAAAGATAAGAAGCTGGGGATGGAACCCTATGGTGTCCCATATTCACTTCTCATTTAAAAAACAGCATGAAAGGACTGGAGACAGGTCCAGGGTCTCACCTTCACATCTACACCTTTCTCGAGCCGGCTCTCTGGCTCTGACTTCATCAGCCAGCAGCTGCTTGGCTTCTTCACACAGTGTTTGGTGGCTGAGGTCTTCTGAGGGTCGGACTCCTCCCCTTTATCTAAGGCCTCACCTGAGTCCCCAGTTTTGGTGCGTTTTCCTGATAGCCCCTTGCCTGCAACAGGAGAAGCAGAAAGAAAAGATGATGCTTCTTAGAGGCAATGTTTCATGATGGAAAAAGCTTACACTTTGGAGTCGGACTTGGATTCAAATCATGGATCCATTACCAGCTGTGGGACCTTAATCTTATCATTAGCTTTCCTTATCTATAAAAATTGGACAAGAATGCCTACCTGACAGGATATCTTCTGGGCTGTCTACTCAATAGGATAAGAACACCTTACAGCAGGCGTCCCCAAACTTTTTACACAGGGGGCCAGTTCCCTGTCCCTCAGACCGCTGGAGGGCCGCCACATACTGTGCTCCTCTCACTGACCACCAGTGAAAGAGGTGCCCCTTCCTGAAGTGCGGCAGGGGGCTGGATAAATGGCCTCAGGGGGCCGCAGTTTGGGGACGCCTGCCTTACAGGGTTGTTCAGGATTAAAGGTCCTGACAGTAGTCAATAAATGTTTTCCTTTCCTCCCTCTCTCTTCTATGCCTTTGCATAGGAAAGAGGAAACGGTGCAGCTACCTGAAACTTTTCAAGCTTAAATGAGAATACAAAGGGCCTAGACAATGCCTCGTATTACAGTAAGTGCTCAATAAAAGCCAGTATTATCCTCATCTCATACTTCTTTCCTTCTTGCTCACTGTGGCTCATGGCCTGTCCTTTCTGCTCCTTGAAGGTGCCAATAAAAGTTGAAAGAAACAGTTCATTCAGGACATTGTAGATATGGTGATGATTCGATTTCATCCTAAGACAGTGTGCCTGGAACACAGTAGGCATTCAGTAGCTAAGTCGTTAGGTTATTATATGACAAGACCCAAGGTCTATGTGTTACCCTAGCCCTAACTTGGTTAATCTACATAACCTATGATTATGTTCTACTCTTCCTCTTGGAGGTGTCCTCCAGATCACACATCCAGTAATGGTGGAATCAAGATATGAGGTCTATCTGAAGCTACTTAATGACTGTACTATACTGCCTCGGAATTTAGTCAAAGTCCCTATATCAATTGTCATTAAATACCACTTATGGACGTCTAATGCTCTGAACCCAGCATACCTTTCTAACCTAGCTTTGTAGCGGCCCCTTAAGAGTCACCGGCACACTGCAAACACCACCTATTGTTAAATAACTGCAATGTGCTGTAGTACATCTGGAACCCGTCATTCCCCAAAGAGGTACTTTCCAATGTTCCTCCTCCATCCACTTAGAAGGCCATCCATCTTTGTGATTATAAAAACGACACGTTTTCTTAGTACTACACCTTTGCCCGTGGAAAGTCTCCCATTTTTCAAGGCTGGTCTCAAACTCCACTTCTTTTCGACGCCTTCCCTGTGATTCCTCCGTCTATAACCTTAAGAATCCATTCTCCCGAAACCCCTCCCATCTGTTTGCAGTTTACCCGCGAGCAGGCGCTGTATATTCATTACTTTAGCACGCCACCCAGTATTTGCAATAGCCAATAGCCTTCATAAATAAAACAAGCAAAAGGAACTCGACGTAGGAGCTTGGTGAGACGAGTAAAGAAGATGGGGAGAGTGGGGCCGGGCGCGGTGGCTCACGCTCGTGTCCCAGTACTTTGGGAGACCGAGGGGGGCGGATCATGAAGTCAGGAATTCGAGGCCAGCCTGGCCAGCATAGCGAAACCCCGTCTCTACTAAAAACACAAAAACTAGCTGGGGGTGGTGGCACGCGCCTGTGGTCCCAACTACTAGGGAGACAGGCGGGAGAATCGCCTGAACCCGGGAGGCAGAGGCTGCAGCGAGCCGAGGCCACGCCGCTGCACTCCAGCCTGGGTGACACAGAGACTCCATCTCCAAAAATGGAATAAAAAAATCACAAAACGTTCTTTCTCGGGCTGCCTCGTGCAGCCTAGGGGCAGCTCACCTGGGCCTGAAGTCTCAGACAGCCTCTTCCGGGGTCTCGACATGGTCTCCCTGCAGGGAAGTGCGGAAGGCTCTGGAATCAACGGAGATACAAGGAATGCTCATATCCCCAAAACCCACGCAGAGCGAGATGGAGGCAGCTAGAGGCAGCCTAGAGTCCACAGCTTGCGCGAAAGATGCCTGTCTTTCCTTCAAATCCTTCCCTCCGTTATCTGCGCCATTTCCACCTCGCGTAACCCGCCCCTGAACTCTGCTCGGTTCTTTCCTTGGTCCTTCTCGCCCACGCACCCCTCTCTCACCACACAAACCCGCCGCCCTGCAGACTTCGCCGCCGCCCGCCCGACGCCGGAGGCTGTGCAGCGCGATCCCGCGGCGCTCGGTGGGCTCTGCGTCACTGTGGTGCCGAGATCCCGGGGACTTCTGGGAGTTGTGGTCCTGGTCCCTCGGGATACCGTCTGGGAACTGAATCGTGAGGGCTTGTGGGAGGACTACAACCCCCAGGGTGCAGTGGGGCAGGCGTTGCCGGGTCGCAGGTCCTGCCACTGCGAATGTAGCGGCGGTCAAAGGCGCTCTGGCACTCAGCTGGACAGTGAGCGGCGGCAGCTATGCTGGGGAGCGGCTGCAGGTGCCTCGGGGCACGCCTCGGCTGTCTGCCTGGCGGTCTCTGGGCCCTCGTCCACACCGGCCACCGGAGCTTGACCTCCTGCATCGACCGTAAGGATCGCTTGCCGGGGGCGGGAGGACAGGTGTCCGCGAGGGTCCGCGGTCTCACCGCTCTATTCAGTCACCCCGGCCCGGCTCCCCGCTCCGGCCCGTCAACCCCGGCCCAGCGTCCCGTTCCGGTCAGTCACCACCATCCAGGTCCTCCTCCGGCCTGTCACCCCCTCCCGGGTCCTTCTCCGACTCCTCACCCAAGCCCTGGTCCTTCTCCGGCCCGTGGTCTCCGCCCGGGTTCCCCTCCGGCCCGTCACCCCTAGCCCGGGTCCTCCTCCGGCCTTTCACCCTCGGATGCTTAGAGAAGTGAAGAAACATGGGACTTTGTTGTTGCTGGGTTGGTTGGTTTTTAAAATCCTAACGGTGGATCAAAAAGGGAATGAGAATGTAAGCAGCTGGCTGAGTGCTGATGGTGGCAGGGCATACGAGATTTGCTCACACAGAAAGATTTGGTATCACAATGCTTCCGGCTAGACGACACATTTACTCATCCAGGAAAAATAATTATTATTGAAACTCATCCAGGAAAAATAATTACGACTGCAAGTGGCGAACTACCGCAGCCGACAAACCTGAGTGTCTGTAGGCTCTAACCGATAAATAATTCGGATGTAACAAGGAGTGGTGGGGACCCAGCAGGGAACTGAAGGAACCTGGCCAGTTTGTGACTTCTCCGCCAAGCACCTTTATAAACACTTTTTTCTTCTGAAACAGTTTAAAATTTATTTTAAATAAATGACAGTTTTCTTTGCAACAGAATACATCCCTTAGCCATCAGATCTATAAAGTACACTAAGGCATAGAATAGTGTTTTCTTCTCAATGTCCTAAAACTCCTTCAAGAGGTGCTGCCCTGTCCTAACACGTAGAATTTGATAACCCAGATCACTCTGGTTGATACCAAAGCAGGTAAAGAATAATTTAGAGGTGGATTTTGTTGTTGCTTGCATCTTGCTTACACTTGAATTGCTCTGCAGTAGAAGGCTTTTCCCATTTTATTTGGGCTGTTTTTCTATTTAGCTTCATCTTTTTAGTGTTTATGTACTGGCATCTCTAACTCTGCCAGGAACTAGCAAAGTTCATGAGGGGTGGTGTTTGTTTGTTTTTTTGTAGTGTATTTCCTTCTAGGAACTTAGGTTGTGTTTACTTATGCATATGATTTGCATTAAACCATTTTCTGCTATAGAATGCAACTCAGGATTTTCTTTCTTTCTTTCTTTTTTTAAAAAAAAAACAAAAAACCCAACAGGGTTTCACCATATTGGCCAGGCTGGTCTTGAACTCCTAACCTCAGGTGGTCCACCCACCTTTGCCTCCCAAAGTGCTGAGATTACAGGCATGAGCCACCACGCCCGGCCAGGATTTATTTCTTAAGCCTGTGGTTCCTTGAACCATTTGTTTTAGGAAGTAGCCATTTACAAAAGAATAATTGTTAACATTTAATGAGTTCTTGCTAGGACTGAAATAAAGTATTTGCATTATTACCATTTATGTCATCTTGTGTGAATGGATTTTATTTATTTATTTATTTATTTAAATATGGAGGCTGGCTCTGTCACCCATGCTGAAGTGCAGTGGTGCGATCTCGACTCAATGCAACTTCTGCCTTCCAGGTTCAAGCAATTCTTTGCCTCAACCTCCTGAGTAGCTGGGATTACAGGCGCGTGCCACCATGCCTGGCTAATTTTTGTATTTTTAGTACAGATGGGGTTTTACCATGTTGGCCAAGCTGGTCTCAAACTCCTGACCTCAAGTGATCTGCCCGCCTTGGCCTCCCCAAGGGCTGGGATTACTGGCGTGAACCACAGTGCGGCTGGACCATATTTATTTGTGTAACCCCAGCACTGCTATGTAGTAAACACCCAATACACATTCTTTAGGGAGTGATCTTTGAGCCATGGTCTACAGCAACCCTTATACAAAACTGGGTAAAGAAATGGCCTGACCCCAGTCAGAGAACCATGAATTGTTTATCCCTAATTCTGTTCCTGAGAGGAATACCTATCGTAGTTTTCTGCTCTGAGCTTTTCAAGGCAGTCTAATTTTTAATCCTCAAAACTATTCATTTCTGACTTTCCCATTTTAATGAGAGTACTGATCACAGACGGAAGTGTTCTCTCCAGGCTCACATAGCCAGACATTACTGATGGCCACATTTGCCCCAAGGAACAGACTCTGGCACCTGCACTTGCGTTCTTTTGTAGGCACTGAAGAAAATTATTGTCAAGTGTGTCTCCACAGTCTTCCCATAACGCTCCTTAGTGGCACTTACAATGATCAAAGTTTTAGCACTGTGACCTCGAGCTCTAGGTCTACAACTACATTTTACCAAGTGGCTAGGATAAGAGATGTCTGGAAATCCTTCATCCTGTTCTAGGTTGATCTGGATGTGTGTTAGAACTGTCCTTTCTCCATATGACAAGTGGAGCCATGATAGAAGATGCCGTTCGCTAGCTGTTAAAGCTGTACTGTGGATGCGAAACACTATAGTAGATCCACTTTCACAGCTTCATGTGATTCTTGCTGGCCGCACTTCCCTGACCCTGTCCTAGAACTCAGTATACGCAATCCTGCCCACAGCTTCCATGGGACTTAATGAAGAGCAGAAAGAATTTCAAAAAGTGGCCTTTGACTTTGCTGCCCAGGAGATGGCTCCAAATATGGCAGAGTGGGACCAGAAGGTAGGAGTTTTTCTTGTGCTTAGACGTTCTAACAGATGTCTCGGGTAGACCTTTATCATTGTCTCCTGATAATCTAATTGTTCAATGTCTCCTCCACCTACCAACTCTTGCCACAAGTGAGAATACCGGCAGTGGATGATTCCTTTCCTAGAAAACCATCCTGATCATCTTGCACATAGCTTTTTTTCTGTTAGTTGAACGAAGATTTGGACATAAAGCTAAGACATTTCTATAGGTAATAAAAAGAAACTTCATAATGTCAGAAAAACAGTCCTTACAGGACCCGTGTTAACTGATAACCAGTGTAAGAAGACAAACAGGCATATTAAGAGAATCCATATGCTCACTTACGTGTAAGCATCCTGATCTCCTCACTGTACCCTCTAAAAGGAAAGCCGTCTCTGAATCAGTTGCTGATGACCTTGCTCTCTTTTGTATATAGGAGCTGTTCCCCGTGGATGTGATGCGGAAGGCAGCCCAGCTAGGCTTCGGAGGGGTCTATGTCCGAACAGATGTGGGTGGGTCTGGACTGTCACGGCTTGATACCTCGGTCATTTTTGAAGCCTTGGCTACAGGCTGCACCAGCACCACAGCCTATATAAGCATCCACAAGTGAGTGCCCAGGCTTGGAAAGCACAATGAAGTGCACATGGGTGACTGAGAGTTGAGATTCATAGGAAGAAGATTGATCTTGTGAGGCTGAGTGTCTTCAAGGAACACGCTAGGTTTGCTGCTGCCTGTTGGACTTGATTCTGTTGCCCTTTGTATTGCTTAGAGAATCAGGTCAGCCAGCCTTCCCGGAAATCTTAAGATTGAGCTGGTACCGGGAGACTTCTCCAGTAGAGTGGACAGGGTCCTCTCGCCCGTTTCAGTCCTAACATGGAACTGCCCGTGATTTGAGGAAGTAATAGAAGGTACTAGTAGAAAGTACATATAATGCTTTGATTTTTAGAGGCTTACGTAACCTGACTAGAAATAGTACAAACGTCCTGGTGAGAAGTACATGGGCCTGGTTATCTCTGGGTAGTCCATGTTCCAGGCACATGTTTTAATCCAGCCCTTTCCTTTAAAGCATCTTCCCAGTTGTGACTTTCCCCCGCCCCGCCTTCTGCGTCGCTGTCGTGCCCTTTGCTTTCTTTTCCCTTCTCCCCCTCTTTTTTTTTTTTTTTTTTTTCTTTTCCATCATTATTTCTGTCGATGTCTTTTCTTCTCGGTGTACCTATTAGCATGTGTGCCTGGATGATTGATAGCTTTGGAAATGAGGAACAGAGGCACAGATTTTGCCCACCGCTCTGTACCATGGAGAAGTTTGCTTCCTACTGCCTCACTGAACCAGGTGGGTTTCCCACACTGCACTGAGATACAGCCGAGAGAGAGGCACGCCTCAGATGGCATCACCCATCACTCCTTCCAGCCTGTTGACACGTTGAGCCACTAGGTACCCATATATTTGGCCGAGAAGTAATCGAGTCCTATGACCTGATGTCACAAGAACCAGGAGGCCTGTCTGGTGGGTTGGGAGATAGACAGTGGCCTGACTGGTGCGAGCAGTTTCCACCAAGTACGGAGTTCCTTTGGCCACCTGGATTTTGCAGTGGTACCCTCTGAGCAGTGTCTGTCCAGGGAATGTTTCCTAGGAGTTAGAGTTGTGCTGGGATCCCTTGACCTCACTGACTTTCTCACCCTCTCTCTGCTGCCTTTTGATCTCTCTCAGGAAGCGGGAGTGATGCTGCCTCTCTCCTGACCTCTGCTAAAAGACAGGGAGATCATTACATCCTCAATGGCTCCAAGGTACTAGCATGTGTCTTCCCAGAGCACCCTGGAGATGGTTCCCAGCTTCCTCCCGACATCCTCTGGTTCCTTCACATCTACGGGTTAATACTCCCATGTTAACGGGATGTTTATGTGTTGGGAAGAGAACCTCTGACTCATTTCTCTTTATTCTCATTGTTTCTCTCTCTCCTGATCTATGCCAGATCATTTTACTGACTTTTGTCTATCCTTTTAATACTCTCATGCACGTAATCTCTGATTGTTCAGTCACTGCAGCTACCTGTACCCCTCCTTAATCTCTGTGTCATTGGACCTTATTGTTAGGCGGACCCCAGTGGTGTTCCCAGATGCTACGAGAACTCACGCACTCCCTGGTCCTTGTGTACCCATTTTACCCTCGCAGGCCTTCATCAGTGGTGCTGGCGAATCGGACATCTATGTGGTCATGTGCCGAACGGGAGGACCGGGCCCCAAGGGTATTTCATGCGTCGTCGTTGAGAAGGGAACCCCCGGCCTCAGCTTTGGCAAGAAGGAGAAAAAGGTGAGGGGCTGTTGGACAGGTAACAATTCAGGTTAGGAGATTCTGCCCTGTGCCAGCCCAACTGCTGCTCCGTTTCAGAAAACAGGTTTGCATACTTGCTATCCTATCTTTGAAGCAATTGCTTCTATTAGGATTTTCAACAGGAGCATATAAAATACAGTAGGGCATTGTTAGACACTAGGCCTCCGGGGAAGTGACAGAGGTTGCCAGTAAGTTCCACAAGCCACCTGTTATTTAGTGTTCTCACCTCTCCTGCCTCCACTTTTGGCCTGTATTTCTTATCCACCTTCTTATGTTGGTGGACTTCGTTACTCCAAGAAGAGACACGTAGAGAAGACCTGGGGTTGACCACAAGTCTCAGTAATGGAAGGCATGTGGTCCCTTTTTCTTCTTTGATTAAAAATAAAGTCAAACTCATTGGAGATGATTGTGGGTATTTCAGCAACCTAAGGACATTTAGGTACTATAGGTGCTTTGAAAAGTAAGACACTTCCAGGATCAAGAAACGCCATGGCCAGGCCATGAACAGATCTGTGATTGTGTAACTGTAATTGGTAGTAAGGGTTCAAGACCCATTCAGATTTTTTTAGACCAGATGCTCAAAAGTGTCATCTCTCGTTAGTTTGTACTGTTACACAGAGGACTTTGTGAAAGAAGGCAGGTAATGAAATGACCTCCAAGTGTCCCTCTCCTCGGGTTTCCATGTTTTCCTGCAGGATCCTTCCTGATCCTCTGTAACTGCCAAGGCACTAAGCATTTTAGCACCCCCTTCTTTTTGGGAACACAGCAGCCATTTCCTAGGTTTCTGCTGTGTACAAAGCCTATACTAACTCCAGGGCAGAAAGACCTTCCATACAAGGCTTAGAAATGGAGTTTATCCTATCAACAAAAAGAGCAAGGAAATGATGTAAAGGCAGTAATATTTTCAGAGCCAAAAAGGGACTGGGAGATTTTATAGTTTTTGGGTTTCAAAATGGATCCCTAAGCCTTGAAGTTATTTGAAGCCTTGGAGTACCTGAGAGAGCAGATGACGGGGATTGTGTAGTGGGGGCTCTTCTGTTTATATGCAAGATTTTGTTCAAAGACAGAGCCTCCGCTGCCTTTCTATCCTACTCCCTTGTTTTATTATCAGGGAAACAAAGGCCACAGAGAAATCAGGTAATTTGTCTACAGGCGAAAAATGCAGCGAATTAATTGCATGACATGGACTATATCTCAAGAATTCAAACTTTTCTCTGAGCTTATGACTAACAGCCAGATGTCCTGCTAGACCAGCTCTTTTGGGGGTGTGGGGACACACACACACACAAACACACACAAACACACACATACACATACTTGTAATGTTTGCCAATTTCTATGATATAAATTCTCTCACCATGGCTGATTTCAGGCCACCACTGTGATATCGTGGAATGCTGAGTTAGGGGGAAAAAAAAGTACATGATTCGCTCCCATGAGCAAGTGCCAGCACATGACTCTCTGTCCCTGCAGCTAAACGCCAGACCAGGTGTTGCTGGCAGTTCATGTTATTCCATCCGTGTAACGATATTAATCTTTTAGGAACACTGAACATTTCAAAAGACAAGTGTGGCTATTGCTAAGGCCTTTAGAAGTAAATAACGCTCCAGATTGCCCTTATATTGTCTCTGTTCTTGTAAAAAGAGTGTTCTCAATTAGAGGCCCTGAAAACGAGGGCAGTTTGTGCCACCATCCTAAAAGAAGTCATGAGAGGTGTTTGTAGGTTAGTCAGGTAGGGTAGACATGATGAAGTAGATTCTCTTAGTAAGTGAGAAAATGCTTCGCTGTAACGTATCTGTGTGACTGTTGACAGGCCTTTAAATCTGAACTTTTTCTTTTTCCTCATTTTAAGTTCTTGCGGGTCTAATTCTTGGGTGCTGAAACCCATACCTCACAGGCTTCTGTCTCCAGGGAAGGCTGCCCTACCTGCTGGATTGTTGGGCAGCCACACAGTCCCTGATTTTTGCCAGGTGGGGTGGAACTCGCAGCCAACACGAGCAGTGATCTTCGAAGACTGTGCTGTCCCCGTGGCCAACAGAATTGGGGGTGAGGGGCAGGGCTTCCTCATTGCCATGAAAGGACTGAACGGAGGGAGGATCAACATCGGTGAGACACGAAGGGGAAGGGCAGGGAGGTGGCGGGCCGGGACTGGCCGTGCCGTTTTCCAGCTCCGTTGAAATGTCAGTGCCCTTCCCTGACAGCTTCCTGCTCTCTGGGGGCTGCCCACGCCTCTATCATCCTCACCCGAGACCATCTCAATGTCCGGAAGCAGTTTGGAGAGCCTCTGGCCAGTAGACAGGTAATCTCTTCCTTGCCTTCCCATGGCTTTTCACTATTTGCAGCCCGCATTTTCAAGGAGAGAGGCCAGCAAATCCCTCCATAAGTCTCACCTCTGTCTTAAGAGCTTGTGCTTTATTTCTATCCCATCTTTTTTCAGGGTATCTTTAACGATATGAAAGTGTCGGGTGAGTGAAGTGGACTTAGCATTTATACAGGAATAAATTTCCTCTGTGGAAGCAGCAAGAGCCTTTTAAGCTTTGGATCATTTAGAAAAGGCACCTCAGAGGTGTCTTACCAAGGCTCCTGGACCAGGCGGCGGTCTAAGCCCCTCAGTCTTGTCTGTTCTCTTCTCCCTGTGCTGCAGTACTTGCAATTCACACTGGCAGACATGGCAACAAGGCTGGTGGCCTCGCGGCTGATGATCCGCAGTGCGGCTGTGGCTCTGCAGGACGAGAGGAAAGATGCAGTGGCCTTGTGCTCCATGGCCAAGCTCTTTGCTACACATGAATGCTTTGCTGTAAGTGATCCCTTTGGCTCTCCCAGATGGACAGGGAACAGCTGCTAGGCCCAGGAGTCTTGAGAGGCGTGAGTCAGCTTTGGAACCCAGCCTCCCTGGAATGCCACAAGGATCACCTTAAGCTTAAGGTGATAAATTAACTCATGAGTGGCCTGCGTGGGAGCTCATAGCTGGCTTTTAGGTCTGCTGCATGCCGTTACACACTTGATGATGTCACTGTGGTTTGCTTGTGTTCTAGATGGAAAACCACCTTTGGTTTAGTGCTCTGCCATGCTTACATTGTTAGGGGCGGAGCTCCACTGATAGCTTCTTATTCCACAGGGTGGCCGTGGGCAGCTTCTGCCTGGCAGGTAACAAGCGACACAGGCTGAGGGCTTTGAGTCACCTGTCTGGTGGGAACTGGCAAGTTTAGCAGATGAACTTCCCTTGTCTCTGACCATACAGAACGTTGAGGCCCTCTTTGAGCTTGGCTGCCTGTGGTTCTTTGTCTCATCAGTTTACCACAGGCTGCCAGATCGTGGGCTGGGGTAGAAGGGGAAGCTCCTTTCTTTACAGTCTTCCCAGACTCCAAGATGTCTAGCCCCTGTCTCCCTGCAGATCTGCAACCAGGCCTTACAGATGCACGGGGGCTATGGCTACCTGAAGGATTATGCTGTTCAGCAGTATATGCGGGACTCCAGGGTCCACCAGATTCTAGAAGGTAAAAATTGCCAGAAGTTATTCTCTTCCCTTCAGAACCGGCGGCAGGATTGCTGCTTTCCCCAGTGTGTCTGTCCCATGCCACCAAGGCCTCAGGGTCCTGTCAAGCCCTGTCTATCTCAAGGCTTTCTCCTTCCTCCCTTTCCACAGAGCTGCTCTGGCAGGGGCTTGGCGCACGAGCACAGCTCTAGCCTGGAGTCCAGAGACTCAGCTTCATCACAGTGGGTGGGCATTGGATCGTTCTGCTTCTGCTCTTTTCCTCTGTAGATTTGTGAGAAGGGTGAACTGAGATGACGGATGAGAAAACATGTTGAAACCTACAGCCGTAGCTTTTCTCTAAGGTTATAGAGTATGTGGTTCTCAGGAATCCAAGAACAGTGATTTACAGGGCAAATGTGAACCAGTGTGGTTATCAGTAGCTCTAAACTGATTATCAGCCAGGTGGTCTAAATATCTGTCTCTATATTACTAGCGTATTTGTCAATAAAATAAACCATCAGTGTATGGATATCGTCTTGGTAGTCACAGACATTCTGTCTAGGGAACATGTAAGCCGTTGGGGTCAGGTTCGGAGCCTGGCTGTCTCTACTCTCTACGGCCAGTGCGGAAGTCTGGAAATGACCCGACTCTTGGAAAAGCAGGAGGGGCGGAGGCTTCTCTGAGTGACTTCAGTGAAGCAACATGAGGCTGCCTTGCTGGAAACATTATATGATGGGGCCTCTCAGCCCATTTCACAGCAGTCTTCTCAAACCCCAGCCTGCGCTGGAATCGCCTGGAGGGCGTGGGCATGCAGCTTGTGGGCCTCGGCCCCAGAACATCTGCTCCACTGGGTCTAGTGTAGGGCCGGGAATTTGTATCGGTGAGGCTGCTGCAGCTTGTCTGAGAACCATACTTTGAGACTCACCATTCTGGTGTTATGTCTGAGTCACATGCTACCAAAGGTTAGACTACTGCTTTCTTCTGTAAACCTCTTTCCAGAAAGATGTTTCTGAGCTCAGTCGCTAGTGTTCAAACTGAATTTCCCAGAGCCTTTTTCCTTTCATTACTCTTACAATTGCTTTCTCACTCAACTTTATGTGCGTGGGAAACTTCGCCTTCATTCCAACTCTCTCTCAAACCTGCAGTAATAAGCGGGAAACATTTATTTTAGGCCACACCATCATCCACTTGTAGAAGAATTGGGGCACTCTTCACTTTATCACTTTGTTTCATCATGGACTTTACTGTTGGATAAATCTACAGTGTATGTTTTATTTGAAATGATTCCTCAAGGGAGTTTATATTTCTTTTTGCATTAAAGGCCACCATTAATAATGAAGCAAATAATTGATACCCTCCTTTCAGGGAAAATGTTTTCATTCTTTTATATCAGTTTTCTGATTACCAAAGAAATGTGTATTTATTGTTGAAACCTTATAAAATTAGGAAAAGTAGGCTGGGTGCAGTGGCTCACACCTGTAATCCCAGCACTTTGAGAGGCCGAGGTGGGTGGATCACTTGAGGCCAGCCTGGCCAACATGGCGAAACCCCATTTCTACTAAAAATGCAAAAAGTTGGCTGGGCATGGTGGCTCATGCCTGTAATCCCAGCACTTTGGAAGGCCAAAGGAGGTGGATCATGTGAGATCAGGAGTTCAAGACCAGCCTGGCCAACGTGGTGAAGCCCCTGACTCTACTAAAAATATAAAAAATTAGCTGGGCATGGTGGTGCACGCCTGTAATCCCAGCTACTCAGGAGGCTGAGGCAGGAGGATTGCTTGAACCCAGGAGGTGGAGGCTGCTATGAGCTGAGATTGCACCACTGCACTCCAACCTGGGCAACAGTGAGACTCCATCTAAAAAAAAAAAAAATTTTACTTAGGCATGGTGGTTCATGCTTGTGATCCTGGCTATTCAGGAGACTGAGGCAGGAGAATTGCTTGAACCTGGCAGGCAGAGGTTGTAGTGAGCCAAGATCAAGCCACTGTATTCCAGCCTGTGTGACAGAGCAAAAAAAAAAAAAAAAAAAAAAAAAGTAAAAGAAAAAAATCACTTATGTTTCCACATCCAGAATGTTATTTTGGTATATCCCTTTTAGGCATTTTACTATGCCTTTGTTGCTACATTTTAAATTTTAATTAGAATTATACTATGTATACTGTTTTTATTCTGCCTTTTTAAACTTCGTTTAAGCATTTTTACCATCAGAAGTTTTTAAAAAAGTAAATATTATTTCTTGACATTTTTTGGTACTTTGTAGAGAAGTCTCTGATAATCTCATCTCCCCCAGGAGAAAAGCAGTGATTCTAATTTACATCTGCAACTACCCTGAACTAGACCTGGAGCAGCCTAGTCAGAGCTTTACCAAACTCTGAGACTTCACTGCTCTGAAGTTCTTCCTTCTTCCTCCCTCTTACAGGTAGTAATGAAGTGATGAGGATGCTGATCTCTAGAAACCTGCTTCAGGAGTAGAACCCACACTCGCTGTTGTGGCCTGGTGTTCACTGTGACTGCCTTCAGTGTTGAGTGGTGCCATGTGGGCTGCTGTGTTCCAAAGGAATCGTGGATTCGACCCGAGGGCTGGGCTCCTCCAGGGCAGGACCTGCACCCTGTGTGTTGGTCGCAGCAGCATCTCCCAGACTGGAGCAGAATTCCCAGTGGAACCAGAAGAACTGGCCTGATGAGAAATGTCAGAAGAACACATACTACCTTGTTTTCCTTCTGCCAGAAAGTGCAGATTCACTGTCAGGCCAAAGTCCTTTCTGGGATCCACTTTATCTTGATTCGTCTGCGTTTTGCTGGTTCACTGGATCCCTCCTCTATGGGCCTGGGGACTTTCACTGAGGCTCTTCGTGATTGTACAGCAAAGGTGTGGGAAGGGGAGACGGGAGAATGCCCTCCTGTCTGTGTCGTTCTCTGTGCCATAGTTACAGATGCAGAAGGTTTCTCTGAATAGCACTCCTCTGAATGTAAATCATGATAAAATGGGTATTTAGGAAAGACTCCTGAGCTGTGATTTCGAATATATTTCTACTTCTGGACTGCCTGAATATCAAGGGCTGAGACTACGATTTTGAGTATTGGTTGGGTTTCATATTAAGAAGCCTGTGGCCTAGGAATGGTACTCATTCCTGATAAATACTTTGAATGTATCTTTTTTTCTGAGTTTTTGTTTCCTTTTCTGAAGCGATTCCTCTTTTTAAACATTTTTAATCAACACATTGAGAAATAAAATCTTCCCTTCACCACCTCTGGCTCTACTAAAGTTGATTTTTATTTTCTCTTTTTAATCCTTTATAACTATTTAAAAATGTTTAATTATGTTTGATTAAATACTTAACTGGATTTTGGAATAATAATAAAAAATCTCTCCTTGTCCAATTTGGCTTTTAAGAAGTAGGCTTCTTAAATTATTAATAACTTTGCAAACTAAGCATTGTTTATGATGTATGAAAGAGGAATTAAAGTAAGATTCAAAGATGGGGACTTTAGGAGACCTTGGTTTTGTTTGTTTGCTTTTTATTTTTGTTATTTTTGAGACAGAGTCTTGCTCTGCTGCCCAGGCTGGAATGCAGTGGCATGATCTCAGTTCACGGCAACTTCTGCCTCTTGGGTTCATGTAATTCATGCCTCAGCCTCCCAAGTAGCTGGGACTACAGGCATAAGCCACCATGGCCTGCTAAGTTTCGTATTTTTAGTAGAGACAGGTTTTTGCCATGTTGGCCAGGCTGGTCTCAAACTCACAGCCTCACATGATCTGCCCACCTCAGCCTCCCAAAGTGCTGGGGTTACAAGCATGAGCCACTGTGCCCAGCCTGGGGGACCCTGTTATAACTTATCATTATATAACTCCATCGCCTCATCCCTATAGAAAAAAATGTGCAAAACATTAACTACAGCCAGTGTTTAGAGAGAACAAAATATGTGTCCAGCAACAAATACTATCTTTTTTTTGAATGCACACTCTCCATGTAAGGAACTTTTGGGTACTGCAGGAGGACAAGCTGTGGGTATACTACAGTTTAAAATGTATTTCTGCCATCCAAGCCCTTATTTAAGAGAGGAGCTAAGACAGCTGTATTGTAAGATAATGATGTATCTGTATAAAGCTGAGAAGGCAACCTGTAAAACTGACAAGGGAGGAAGGGATTCAGAGAGAGGGTAGGGATTCAAATTAAGCTTTTATGAGAATGTGGTCAGGCATGGTGGGTCGCATCTGAAATCCTAACTACTTGGGAGGCTAAGGTGGGAGGATTGCATGAGGCCAGGAATTTGAGGCTGCAGTGAGCTACGATCTTGCCACTGCACTCCAGCTGGGGTGACAGAGTGAGACCTTTGTCTCTAAAAAAAGATTTTATGGGCAGGGCGCGGTGGCTCAAGCCTGTAATCCCAGCACTTTGGGAGGCCGAGGTGGGTGGATTACGAGGTCAAAAGATCGAGACCATCCTGGTCAACATGGTGAAACCCCATCTCTACTTAAAAAAAAAAAAATACAAAAAATTAGCTGGGCATGGTGGCTTGTGCCTGTAATCCCAGCTACTCAGGAGGCTAAGACAGGAGAATTGCCTGAACCCAGGAGGTGGAGGTTGCAGTGAGCCGAGATCGTGCCATTGCACTCCAGCCTGGGTAACAAGAGAGAAACTCTGTCTCAAAAAAAAAAAAAAAAAAGATTTTATGAAAATATATAATATTTAAAGAGAATCAAGAAAGTCAATTTCAGACAAAGGAACCAGGAGCAGGAAAAGTACAGGATTGATTTATGGAAAAGCCGCTTACACTTTTGTTTAATTGTGGTTTGGGGTTGGAATGAGATGGAAAATAGAAGTTGAATCTGGAAGGAGAGTTATGAAAGCCAAGGGTGGGGCTTTATTTGGTAAGCAGTGGAGAGCCACGGAAGGTTTTTAATGCCAAAGATATGAAATTGACTCATTCATAAGAGCATTCTGGAAAGCATATGTAGGATAAATATGAGTGAGGCAAGACAGAAGATAAGATACCAGTCGATGGGTTCTTGAAAAGGTCAAGGAATGGGGCAATTCACCCTGAACATGGAAGGTGAAAGGAAAGACCAATGTGAGCAAATGCAGACCTGTGTGCTGTGGAACTTGAAGACCCCTCTAGTAGTCAAGCTGCTTCCTGGTGTTCCAGTCCTGAGAGGCTTCTATTTTGACTCAAAGCAAAAACAAACGCAATGTTGATGTCTTCCTATATTGTTCCCTTCATAAGATTTTGATGAAATGATAGTTATTAAAAGTGCATTTCTCTCATGCCTGTAATCCCAGCACTTTGTGAGGCTGAGGCAGGTGGATCTCGAGGTCAGGAGATCAAGACCATCCTGGCCAACATGGTGAAACCCCGTCTCTACTAAAAATACAAAAATTAGCTGGACATGGTAGCATGCACCTATAGTCCCAGCTACTCGGGAGGCTGAGGCAGAATTGCTTGAACCCGGAGGTAGAGGTTGTGGTGAGACAAGATCGCGCCACTGCACTCCAACCTGCTGGCACCTGGCAACAGAGCGAGACTCTGTCTCAAAAAAAAAAAAAAAAAAAGAAAGAAAGAAAGAAAGAAAAGTGCATTTCTCACTATCACCCTCAGTTATTCAGAGATTTCAGTTTCCCAGTACCCTGGGAAGGGATTTGCTAAACATAGCAAGAATATTGTGAACTTTAAGCTAATTGGGATCATTGTTCTTTTGTCTATTTCATAAGGAAAAGCAAGAAAAGCAGAGCAACAAACGTATTAAGGAAAGCCTGTGTGTCAGGGGCCGTATAGGTGCAGAACGCATACAGGTAACCAAATACAGCTTCGCTGAACAGATCTGATGGACTGGGAGCTGGGAAGCAGGAGACAGGTTCAACAGAAGGTGACAAGAACAAAGGCATGCACACTGCGCTCTGAGGCACGAGAAGCCTTGCGGTCATAAAACAGTGACTTACGTCAGAATTGGATTTCCACATTGCCTTCATCCCTAATAATTCTTCAAACTGCCTCCAATTATTACAGTTGTGAGGAAAATCTAACTGCATCACACACACACACACATATATAAAGAATGTTTAAGCAATCTTAAAATTTTCTCTTCATCCTTTATAGATTTGATAATTAGAAATGCCTTTTTTAGTGCTGATCCTGTGATACTTTTAAAATACCAAGATTCCGGCCTGGCGCGGTGGCTCACGCCTGTAATCTCAGCACTTTGGGAGGCCGAGGCGGGCAGATCAGGAGGTCAAGAGATTGAGACCATCCTGGCCAACATGGTGAAACCCCATCTCTACTAAAAATACAAAAAATTAGTTGGGTGTGGTGGCACGCCTGTAATCCCAGCTACTCAAGAGGCTGAGGCAGGAGGATTGCTTGAACCCGGGAGGTGGAGTTTGCAGTGAGCCGAGATCATGCCACTGCACTCCAGCCTGGCACCTGGTGACAGAGCAAGACTCTGTCTCAAAACAAAAACAAAAACAAAACACTAAGATTCCTCCAAAGCACTTTACATATATCTATCTCTCGGTTTTTATGAGGGGGTTCTTGCACAGAGGAGGCATTCAAAAGATACTAGTGTGAAATTAACTTGAGTAAAACTGCAACTACCGCTAGGCGAGGTGGCTCACGCCTGAATCCCAGCACTTTGGGAGGCAGAGGTGGGTGGATCACAAGGTCAGGAGTTTGAGACCAGCCTGGCCAACATGGTGAAACTCCATCTCTACTAAAAATACAAAAATTAGGTGTGGTGGTGGGCACCTGTAATCCCAGCTACTCAGGAGGCTGAGGCAGGAGAATCTCTCGAACCTGGGAGGCGGAGGTTGCAGTGAGCCGAGACTGCGCCATTGTACTCCGGCGTGGGTGACAGAGCAAGTCTCAGTCTCAAAATAAACAAATGAAAAATTCCGCAACTACCAGTGCTGCCAGCAGCTGCAATTTGGGCCCTGGATCCAGACTCCTATAACTAAATTTGATGGCCCGCTCTGCCGCTTACTAATTGTGTGGCTTAGTTATTGAAATGCCAGGGGTTCAGTCTATCTAGGTCCTGCTGCTCACCACACAGAAAGCCGATGACTGAGATAACAAGTATTGCCGAGGAAGGAGCTTTAATCAGGTGCTGCAGCAGAGGAGACGGGAGCTTAGTCTCATATCCATCTCCCTGAGGGACGAAAACTAGGGAGGGAAGAATGTGTAAGAAAGTGGGAACTAGGATGGGGCACAGAAGCAATTGTGATGAATGAGGGGTCTGGTATCTCATTGTCTGGATGTAGTGATCTGGTCAGTTCCAGTTCTTTGATACTTGTTTTGAGAGGCCCGACGGTCTCTGAGGAAGGAACTCAGATAAAACAAATATACAGTTCAAGCTTTAACACCAAAGGGTCAATTTCTATGTTTATCCAAAAAACTATGGGACTACTGGGTTGCTTTCAGCTTTAGGCAAAATTACTGCAACTCTCTAGCTTGTTTCCCTGTGTATACTGGAGATCATAAAAGCTCCTACCTTATAGCATGGTTGGTGAATCAAGAGGAACAACAGAGCATAGTGTTCTCAAGCAAAGTGTTCTCAAGCAAAGTGTTCTCAATCAATATTAGCATTAGTAACCTCTTTCATAAATGAACATAGTGAATCCTCCAGAGAATAAAGGGCTTGCTCAGATGCACACGGGTGGCAGGCTGAAGTTCTTAAGCACAGCTCTTGCAAGGACCTTTAAGTTATTTAAGATTGTGTTTGCTGGACTGCGGTGCTCAACACCTAATATTTCTGGTTTGCCTCTCTTCTGGATAAATGACAGGAAAGCATTTCCCTTTTGCCAGTTTTACAAGAGACAAGCACAGGAGCACATTGCTAAGATGTTTCCCAGGGTCTTAGAAGGGGTCCATACAGGCCAGGCCTGTAATCCCAGTGCTTTTTGAGAGGGCTAGGTGGGAGGATTGCTTGAGCCCAGGAGTTTGAGACCAGCCCTGGCAATATAGGAAGACCCATCTCTATAAAAAGTTTAAAAACTAGCTGGGTGTGGTGGTGTGCACCTGCAATCCTAGCTACTCAGGAGACTGAGGTGGTATTGGGGAAATTAAGACACTGGAGAGGTGTTATTAAGGTGCACACCAGCCTAGCGGATTTACAACCAAAGGACTGAGCACTGAACCAAGACAAAGCTTGATTTTT